TAAGTATATAAATAACTCAGGCCAAGTAACTTAGCCCAGTTACTTTCATCTAGAAGAACCAGTGGGTCAAAGCTTGATCCTACAGCAGTTAATCAACTTCCAACTGTAGTTGAACTCGTTCATCTTAAAGGTCTTTTCCAACCTAAATATTTGTATGAGTCCATGAACTTAAAAGTTTTCCTAGAGGATGACTTGTATTAATGCCACACCTAATTAAATATTTTTATTCTGGTATAAATTCCCTGTTATTTTTATCGTTAGCCATTTAGTTTCTGGATTACAGTGTGCAAAACATAATGGTCAAGCTATTAGGCTTCCCTGACTTGTGCCTGCCCAAGAGTGAACTCTCCTGGATGTCTCTCCAGAAGGAATTTGGTCTGTGCATACCCACTGGGAGTGAGGATGCATTGCCCTGCTGCCATGTAGCACTGTTCCAAGTTCTTGCCATCATTAGCAAGTTGTTAGTAAATGAAGTCTGAATGATTCCCAGCAAGACACGACAGACGGAGCAAGTATCAGCAGTATTGTTTCACTTGTTTGTGTTGGCTTCATGCAGAGGAACTACTTGAGCTCTGTGCTTTGTGCATGAGCCCATAGCTATGCTTTGTGTTGAAATTCCTGAGCTCCCGTCACCTTAACGGGAAGCACTTTTAGTTTTGAAAATTGAAGGAAGCATGTGGGTCTGCTCACATCACTGGTGTGTAATATAATAAGGATTTTGAAGAATTCAGTCTGAAGTGCACCTAAAATTCCCACTGATATGGTCTGTATGCTTAAAGCTAGTGAAAGACATTGATTAAATGTTTGCTTAATTGGCACTAGACCCGAGAGCTGGGAGAATCTACTCCATGTATACAAGTTATTGCTGGTTTTTCTGTGATGTAGAAGAACATAGGTGGCTTCTCAGGAGCTGGTGTTTCCCTACTCAAATGCTGGATATATGCACTGGAATTAGCAGTCAGGTGTTGAGATTAGTGGAGAATGAGAAAGCCTTTCTCCTGCTTGAGATAACATTCTCCAGGATATTCCAAAGTGCAAGGGATGAGTGCTGAGTAATCAGAGTGGCTCCATCCAAAACTCTTCCAGCCCAGCTCAGCCTGGTAGGATCTAAGCTGGGTTACACATGCATGCAGTCAAACTGATTTCTTTACACTGCTTTTCTCAATGCTTCACCTCAAGGAAAAAGCATTCTCCTCAGAGTCAGCATGGCAAGAGCAGGTGGAGCTTGAATCTCTGACAGTGAGACACACAATGCCAGAGTATTTGATGCTATGACAGTTCTAAGTGTGCGTAGAGATAGTGGAGATGCTGCTGAACTGGCATTGGAGGCCCTTCTAGGATGAAACCAGTTTTGGGGCTCTACTTCTAAGGCAGTTTTATTCTGTATTACCCATGTAGGTAGAACCTTGATAACCGAGCAAATTGAAAATGCACCTGAATACAAGTTGGGAGTACAGCTGCCTTCTGGGTGTTTCTGTGCTGAATTCAGGCTGTGGGCTGCCACTTGGCCATCCTTGATCTGTAGTTCCTTGTAGCCAAATTCTTGTGTTACTATGGTGTGATAAATTTAGCCTGTTTTGACACTTTGTCTTAGCTCGTTTCTGAAGTTCTGCAGATGATATTACATTACTTCTTGTTTGTCAATACCAAAATGCCCAAAACCCAGTGTTCTACTCAGTTTAGTAATGTTACAGTAAAGCTTTGGTTGAGATTCCTGGAGATAGACCGTTGGAGATGCAGAAGATTTGGTTTCAAGTTATTTTTTTTCTTTCATGTTCTCACTCAGTCGCATTTCTTAGGAAGTGTATCCAAACCAATAATTTGTCATCTTGCACTTTGTGTCTCATGAATTTGGAAGAACAACAAGAACTATTCTTCACCCCAAAGGCAAGAAGGGGCTGAGGACCAAAATTAGATCTTAAGTCAAAGCTTTTATTCACGGTTTCAAGTTCAGGGTAGTGGAATTTCATTGTAGGGTGTTTTTTGCAGCTCTTTGCTCATGAGATATTTTGTCAAAAAAGCAGACTGCTTTATGGCTTATTTGCAGGCTGACCGTGACTGTTTGCCCAAGTAGGCACATTTGGGCTTCAGTCCTGTGGGAGCTCCTGACCTTATTTTTACTGGATGGGAATAGTTATGGCTCATTCTCCTCCATTTGGAGAATAATTGTATGTTCTTGTATTGAAGTGTGAAAGTATATTTGACCAGCTGTAGATTAAAAGAAAGTGTTCAGTCCCTGAATGTATTCTTTGCATCATTTTGGAGCAATTTAATGACAGAAAAGGCAGTTCTCTGTGTTCTTTGATTCACTGTTGGACTTGTATGAGAACATGACATGTGAACTCACAACTTTATTTTCCTTGCCTTCCCTGGCATGCCAAGGGCAGCACAACCCATTAAAAAAAATAAAATCAATGAGTAGCAAAATAACACAAAAATTTCTAATGTAGACTAGTACAACCAAATCACAGGGAGAGGATGTTCTTGTGAAATAAGCTTGTGTTTTGCCAACAAAAATCCTGTGTCAATTAGGCAGTGTGTGTTCCAAAACTCGACACGTAGTGGAGTCAGTTCAGTGTATGAGTATGTATTGTAAATAATGTAGTATTTGATGATGCAGTGTTGAGATGTGGATCTTGAAATTTTGCTGTTCTTTCTCCTGGCAGCATGGAGGGTGGGTAGGTGGTTGCAGAGAGGAGAGACTTTCCTCCATCCTGGGCTGAAGAACAGTCGTAGTATCTGATGCCTGTGGAAGAAAATGAATGTGTAGATTCTGTCTGAGTTGGGCTTGTTTTTAAAATAACAGAGTCAGAGATAAGTGTTACAAAAATAACTCATTTGCTGATAACTTTATCTACTTGGAAGATGAAAATTTAGTGAAAAATAGGCTTATCTGGGTAGTGCAACTCTTAGCACTGGTGGTAGGACAATTCATAGCACAGTTTGGGACTGACAAAGCAAGTGCTGTACTTATCACAGCAGACTCCAGCCTTGTGTTGTCTTGCGATTTAGCACAACAAAGCAGATTAAACTCTGGAAATGCTATCTTAGATGTGCTTCCCTGTGAGCAGAGACTTTGGAAAATAATGCCAGTTAAGCAGTATTTTTATGCCTGTGCTTGAGTTCAGACTTCTATCAAAGAGTTGGATAGAAAGAAAAAGTCCTGGAAGGTGTAGGGACTGTGGCCAAGTGCATTTGGGACATGCTTTAGCCCTTTGTCAGTCACTCTTGAACAGGAAAACCTCTTACAGCTCTAGACTGAGACAGAATTAATGGCTTTGAAGCACCAGGGAGGCTGAGGATGGGGTAGAACTTTGAAGTCCTTCATGTTCTGCTACAGGTCCTGGGTGGACCAGCGGCTGCGCCGGGCGAGCTGAGGACAGGACAGCATAACCCCATGGGTTTATCCAGTGCACCCCACTGCCAGGGCATATGTGTTAGGCTCACAGGGCATTTATTCAGTTATTTCTTACACTGTACTTAAAAACTTTTAACCTTACTGCTAAAGAAAACTACCATTGTCTGTTAGTAGGACTGGAACGAAAGCTGAATAGTGACCTAGCCTTGAGCGAACTGTCAATCTGACTTTGATAGCCCATCACTTAAAAGGTCCTTTTATGTTTATGAAAAAGCATGACATCAAAGCCAAGGGGAAAAAAATACCCTTGTGTGAACTGTTTGTTTCTCCACTTGCATGGCTAATTAGCGTAGGTTACTATAAGTCTGAGCAGTGGCCATCAAGTTTCTCTTGCTGTTTTGGGGTAGCTTGTTTATGGTGCTTCCATATGTGGATCCCTCAAACTGGAGTAGCATAGAGCAAAGGATATTGCATTGTCTTCTCTTGCAGCCTCCGAGGAGAATGTTGGAAATGCTTGAGTATAATCATTATCCGGTGAGTTGTTATTGGAGACTTATTTTAAAAGCTGTTGCTGAGAAGGGTTACAGTGTACAGGAAACCCTTTTCCTCTGGTGTCTTGGATGCTTTATTTTCTTCCACACCAATAAATGGCTATACATGTTGATTATAACAGCAAAAGTCACTTTAATGGAACTGTTTTAAAACAAAATAACTTCTCAGAGTATTTCTGTATTTCGTTTTCTACCTTCCGATAACATTAGTGATCAAAGAATGGTGACAAAGAGTTTCCAGAGTACAGTGGAAATTTTTAATGGAAAAAAATTGCCTTTCTTCTCTTGCTTATTTAGAGTGTACAACAGTAGCTCGAGGTGAGGTTTTTCATGTTTTGTATATAAAAAATTCCTAAGTACTGAAACGCTTATCTTAAATACAAAAATAGCTGTTGCTGAGGACAGTGATTGATCTGAACCAAAACACTTCTCTTCTTGCATCTTATTTGCATGATGTGTTTATAAACAGACTGTCTTATTTGTATATGATTTAGGCCATATATCTGAGGTATAAATAATCTGTAGGCAGAAAAATGGTGTCTTCCAAGTTTTTTAGTTTAATCAATGTCTTAATTTTAAAAAGTCTAACAACCAAAACCTAAAAAACCAACAACAAACCTTTTGATCTGTCTCTGTTACTTGACATTGGCTCAAGGATGGCAATCCATACTACTTGGGTTTCATTGGTAGCTACTTACAAGTAAAATGAGTCCTGCAGTACAACTCATTTTCCATATTTTAGTGAAAACTAAATGTCACATAGCTGAAGGTCTGAACGCAGAACAGTCTGTTCTGGAGCCTCTGTATCAACTGGAAACCTGAGTGTTGGTCTTAAGTGAGAATCTCATGTTGTAGAAAATAACTAGAACTTCCTGGTTTGCTGTTAATAATTCGGTTATTGAAACGCTGGGTTATAAACTGATTTCTTGCCACCAAATGTGAGTTAGTGAAGCTTCCTTGGAGCTGCACAGGTTTGTACTCTTGAGTCAACGGCTTAGCTGGTATATATGTCACAAATGTATAGCTCAAATCGACAGTACCTGTAATGATGTTGTAGAACAATAAAGCCCTTTCTAAATTGTGTCGTCCAGGTGCAGACTCACCTTGAGAATCCAACCAAGTACCACATTCAGCAGGCCCAGAGGCAGCAGGTAAAGCAGTACCTCTCTACCACTCTAGCAAATAAACATGCCAACCAAGCCCTGAGCTTGCCATGTCCAAACCAGCCTGGGGATCATGTCATGCCACCTGGAACTGGGAGCAGCGCACCCAACAGCCCAATGGCTATGCTCACCCTTAACTCCAACTGTGAGAAAGAGGTAAGACACTCTCCCTGTTCTTATTCTTCAGTTAAATGGAGTTGCAATCTGTTTTAATTAAGCTGTTTTTAAACCATACTTGCTCATCGTTAAGACGTTATGTTTGTTCTTGCTGAACTGTTCATTGTGAAAATGTAACTATCTCTGTGTCTGCCTGATTAATATGTATTTGCATAGAACATTTTGGCAAAAAAAAAAAAAAAGCTGTGTCCCTCTAACTTCCTCTTCTTTAGCTATTTTAGCCTGTTTATACTTATTAAAACTACTTTTCTTCCCCCAACCCCGTTGCTTGATGCACACAGTGAATAATTGACCTTTGGAGAATACAAAGCAGCTTTGTAAGCTGTAGCTTTCTGGAATAATGTTATTTATGGCTCACTCGTGTAGAAAGAGCAAAGAGCCTAGCAAAAATAACTGAAAAAATACAAAGCTTTTTTGAGATATTTTAGCTATTTTTACAGTAAAATTTGAGCAAGCCTGTTGCATAGCTGGAAGGCCAGATTACCCCAGCTAATATACCCTAAAATCTTATTGATTGCTGTTTCATGATGAGCTCAGTGCTGCAAATAGAAGGCTAAGGCTTCACTAGCCTGTGCCTAGAAGTCCTTCACAGCCTTGTCTTAATCTTTGCTGGCAAAAACTTAATTACCTGTGTGCTCAGGCACCAAAGGAAGATGATTTAAAAGGTACTAACAAGTCTAAGAATCATGCCAATATTTTTGTAACATGGCAAAAGGGAGACAACTGTAGAGCTCCTTGTGTCCCCTCATCTGCCCCACAAGCCTTTGTGCCAGATTCTTAATACAGATGCACTCCGTGAGGAAAACGTTGCACGACTTTGAGAAACCGAACATATTTTGCCCATGCAAGAGAAATTACTTGTGCTCCATAATTTCAAAGGAAAGGAAAACCAAATATTTCCATGCTATTGTCCCAGTTGTACCCAAATATTTTTTTTCTTTAAGATATTTACAGCTTCACTTTGCTGTGTCATCAGGAACATGTGTGCATGACACTATTTCAATCGTGCTCTTTTTGGGACTGAGACTGTGCCATGAACTCAGATCCATGCTTTGCTTTTTCTTCTTTTTTTTTTTTTTTTTCTTCTTTTGTTTTCTTTTTCTTTTTTTTTTTCCTTTTTATTTCTGCAGGGATTTTATAAATTTGAAGAGCAAAGCAGGGTTGAGAGTGAGTGCCCGGCTCTGAATACACACTCACGAGCATCATGCATGCAGGTACTGGATGACACAGGAGGTGGAGCACAGATCCCCTTTCTAATCAGCATGTTTCTTTGATGCTATGTTGAAGAATAAACTTGCCCTGTAGTGTCTGTAAGAAGTTGAATCTAAGATGCATATAAGGTTCATAACAACGATTGTTAGCATTGATATCAAAAGTGCATGAAGACATCCAAAAAGGGATTCTGCTGTTCTAGCCCTCTGACACTACAGCAGAAGAACCTATCTGCCATGCTTTAAGGTCTCACTTCTGGAAATCTCCTCTAGTTCAGATTCCCAAGACTGCATGGATGTGTTCTTGCCCTTATAGGTTCTAAGTTCACATTTCTATGCAGATCACACTTGCATTTTGAAAAAGAGATATGGGAAGGCTTGAATCCATCTGTGGTAATTTATCCTCAGTAGTTATGCTTCTATTTTTTATTAATTTTTTTAAAAAAATAAGGGGCTTTTTTATTTCTAGTAACAATACTTTGAGCATGGGTTGAAACTGTTAGTTCCTTTCTTGCCTTCACTTCCTGTCAATGGAATTTATTCAGATCACACTTTCTGAAGCTGATGCTAAAATCCCGTAGACTATTATTTCTACCATCACCATTATGCATTGGTTTTGTAGATCACTATCATTTAAGCTCCTTTTTTATGATGAGCAAAAAGGGTATAGTCAATTTCTCAGGACCATTGGGAGCCCCTGTGTGGGTGCTTTGGAGGGCTGTTGCTCCTGGCTCTGCAGGAGCTTATGAAGGCACCTTCCAGCCCAGCCCCAGAAAGAAGGTGCCTTGTACCACTTAAAATCATCTCCAAGCTGCTCTTGTGTGGTGTTTCCTGGGAGGGTTTATGAGGGACATGATTCCAATTGATTCTGCTGTTGAGGGCTCATAGTATGTTGCCTTTGATCCCTCTCCTTCTCTCCAAGTGTCAGGGGCTCAGCATTACTGTCTGTGTGCAGGTTTTGGTTCCACAGAGGGAAGAAAGGGGTGGAGGGTAAGCAGGTAGTGCTGCATGGGGGAGAGGGAGTCACATCATTAGCATCACTCATTCTATGGACAACTTCCTCCTCCACTGTTCCTGGGAGGAACAGTGCATCCCTGGACAGAGTAACTGCTGGTGGGAGGAATGGGTTAGACCATAAAGCCTCAGCTTTGCCATGACCTAAGTGTCCTAGCTGGACAGCAGAAGTCATGGCTGAGGGATTACAAAACTGCACAGGCACCTCCACTTGGGCCCATGCTGCAGAGAGCCCATTGTGGCTGAAGGGCTTTGTCAGGCCTCTGTATCCTAAAGATTTTGATGAGTGTTTTGCTTTTCTTTGTCCACCTTTTCTGCTGCAGATGGATGATGTGATTGATGACATAATTAGCCTGGAATCAAGTTACAATGAAGAAATCCTTGGCTTGGTGGACCCAGCCCTGCAAATGGCAAACACGGTATAATACTCCTTTCCCTCTGGTTTTCCTGTTAAGTCTAATTGTCTTTCCTTGAGAGAAAGCAAAAGTGCAGCATGACTTTTTTTTCCTTGCAATTAAGTAGTTACTGTATTGTTCTGTAGAGTGTAATTAGTTTTTCTTTGAAGAGCTTAAGGTATATAGTTGCAATGAAAAAAATGATTTTAAAAATGCAAGGTGAAATGAGGGTGGAATGACTTATTTCAAAGTCAAGTCATTCCATGAGAGGATTGTAACAGGGGAGTAAACTGTGCTACCAGGAGTAGCTCATACTCATTGATCTTAAAGATAGCCATGGATGTTATGCTTTGTTTTAGAAAGACTGTAGGGAACCTCTGCCCCCCCAGGTTCCTGTAGCTTGTCATATTCAGGTAAGAAATTTTATGCTACACAAATTTTATGCTTAAGCATGTGTTGGCTTCCCTGTCCACAGGCACTCTAACTTTTAGCTCTAACATCACAACTTTAGCTCAACCCGATTTCAATAGGAGAGAAGTCCCCAGCTAGACAACAGCAAAGATGCTACAGAACTCAGGGGAAGGAAAAAAAATCAAAACTAACCTTCAAAACAAACAGAAGGGCAAGGAATACAAGAGCTTAAAAACTGAATGGGGCAGGGGATGTGAGAAGCCTGTGACAAAGGACAGGAACACAGAGGTGAGGAAGATGCAGAGCAAGGGAAGGCACAGGTTACCTCCGAGTGGCTGTTTTGGTTTGGTTCACATTGCTTTGAGCATTAATATAATCATACTTGTGGCATAATCTGATTTTGATCTTCTGTGGAGGGTAGCTCCAGTGAATTTTTTGCCTTAGGCTTAAGTGCTGTTAGATCTGGCTGAGTAGATGTCTGCCAGTGCTGGCGTCTGTTTCTTTTTTATCTAGTGCCAAAATTTACAGCTTACCACATAGCACTGATTTTGTAGCATAGGTTTACATTTGCTGACAGTATTCGTCTGATGTCATGTTAACCTAGTCCTGTGCTCCCACAGATTCCCACAGCCCGCTCAGAGACATGGTGCATGACGCAGGAAGCGGCCCACCAGCTTCCCTTTCTAAATAGTGCCCTTTGAGCACAGGGAGAAATAGCTCAGAGTCCTGCCAGAGAGAATAAATTTTCTCTTAATCTAAGATGACTTGGAAAGTGCAGCTGTCCTGGAATTTGAGAGAAAAACTCCAAAACCTGTGAAAAAGATATATTTCAAGTCTATGTTTTATTTTTTTTTCAGCAAGAGATGAGGTTCTTCTGGAGTTCTGTCTCTAAATTCCTTTGGATTAGGACCCATTACATTAGAAGGGATTTGGATATCTTTGTGCTCTCCTTCCTTTCTCATTTCACAGGGACCCCAGCAGTGGCTCTTTGCTTCCAGGCAAGGACAGAATGGTCATCTCCACTCTTTTGTTGCAAGGAGTCCATGTAGTCAATGTTTAGGGTAGTCTGCATCCTTCCTGCTTGCTGCTAGACAAGAAGCCTTGGAAAGATTGGCTGATCCACATTTACTATGGAATTCCAGAGTTTGCTCCCTGTGTGTGGTGAAGTCTGAAAAATAAGGACATGAAACGGTAGAATTAAGATTTCTTTAGTAATACATTTAAATTTCTGGAAGCATAAAGCATATTTCAATCTGAGTTAACCTGATACCAATCCTGAAGAGATAGAAATCGACCCATGTTTCCCAACACAATTGGTTTGGGGAAAAAAATTAACCTACTGTAACAGACACTTTTCTTCTGGAACAAGGTTTAGCTCTTAAAACACACAACATTTTACTAATAAGGAATTAATGTCTATAGACTGAGCTAAGTAGAGGTGGGAGAAACGAAGAGAGGAAATGGTCTCTAAAGAGAGGCAACCTATAAATAGCTGTGCTGAGACTACGACAAAGGCTGCTGTTGTTCCATACCCAACAAAGAACAAAAGGACCAGTTTGTTACAGTTGGTAACAGTACTTAATTGATAACCAAAATCAGAGATTTCTCTGCAGAGCAAGCTCAGGGAAGTTTCCAAGTACCTTGAGTTGAAAACTGCTCGTTGCAATCAACTGCTCGTGGAAGTGTTTGTAAACTTTGGTATTGGGTCACAAGTTGGCTTTGCTCCTGTGGTGGAAGGTGTAACAAAATGATCCCTAGTGTGGAGAAAGGGTTTTCTGAGTAGATACAACCTGGTAATTGATTTGCCAAGTACTGTGTAAAGTATTTTTGTATACCAAGTGGAGATTACAACTAATTCATCCGACTAATCAATTCTAGCCTGAACCTCACATGGAAAGCTGTGTCAGTACGTGCAGCTCCACTTCTAAATGTGTCTTTCCTTTGGAACTTAAACTCCAGAAGTAGAGAGAAATCTTATTTCAGGGACTGTCGCTGAGCGTGTGCCTGTAGATATGGGAACAACACAATACATTGTAGGCTGCACGAGCTGGGGAACAGAACAGAACCCATTCCAGTGTGTACTGATACCTTAGAAACAGCCTTGTTGATCACACAGCTGATGTCTCAGTGATTTTAGACAGAATGTGGGTGCTTGTTTTGTTGGAGTAGTGGAGGAGAAATGAAAGCCTCAGACTCCCATGAATGTACACTATGATGAATCTGCAGTAATAATTACCATATTTGAAATTTCTGTTATATAAAAGCTGTTATTTAAAAAAAAAAAAAAAAGCAGATGCAAAGTGATGGGAGGGCTGGAATTTATTTTACTTGGTTTGTTTGTGCAACTTGTGAAGCCAAGGCCTTGAAATATGAAATCTCACCAGTCAAGGCATTTTAGACCTTGCTATTTCAATGAAGAAAACCTATAAGCCACTTTTCCTTCATTTACTTTTTGGAAGAGTAAAGATGGGTGATCTGAGTGATTCTGTGTTTAAATTTCTTCATAGCCAGAAATAGCTAAGAAAGCATTAAGAAAAACGTATTCAGATGGAAAACATGCTAGAAATTGGATAAGACAGGGAAGGAGCCTCCTTAGCACCAGAAAATTCCATGGTTTTCCCAAAGTTTTGAGACTCCATCTTTGCTATGTCTGTGGGAGTTTTGACACTTTCCCATCTCCTTGTACTTGGGGATAGTGATGAAAGCTTCAACTGTCTCAGAGCTGAAATATTTGAAAACAATGTGTCATTTTTTCCAGTTTCTTCCAGGAGGAAGCCTTTGAAATAAATGCTCAGGTGTCTCTGCAATGGGCACATTTATAAACTCCTTTTTGTTTGTTTGTTTGTGGGATTTTTGCCCAATGTCAGCCTAGTGGCTACTTTTGTGTCTTGACAGCACTGACTTGTCCATCTCAAACCAATGTGCTCAGCATGGGGCTACTCTCCCCTTTCAAGTTTCTGTAACTCTGCATTAATTATTGGTTTTACCAATCATTGGGTTTACTTTAGCCAACTGATTTTATTCCTCTGGGAACTGCTATATAATTGTGAAAAGAGGATGTGCCTTGATTTTAATTTTCCTTTAGCTGCAGGTATTTTAGCCAAGTGAGATGACCAGGAGTGTTGCATGCACTTGGTTTTCATTTGAAAGGAGTAGTATAAAGCTAGTCCCAAAGATGTGACTTGCAGCTATCCTTGAAGAACCCTCTCAGTGGATTTTTCTGAGTGTGGACCGTACATGTAGTCACACTGGTAGGAAAAAGTTACAGCTGAAGCTTAGGAGCTCAGATGCTGGGAAAAGCAGACAAAGAAAGAAGCCAATCAGTCTCTTTGCTTATGGATCACTGATTTAAGTGGAGACTGTTGGCATTTACCCCTGATGTAAATTTCCCTGATAAGCATTCCTGTGTACATGTAAATCTGCCACATTTAGCAACAATGCTATCTCTTCATCTTCCTGTCCCTTCATCTTCCTTCAGTCAGCTCCTGCTGCATCAGCAGCTCTTGTGCTTGGGTGTTGCACAGCTCTTGGTTGGGTTCCTCTGGTGCTTGCAGCTTCTGGAGGACTTCACTGTGCACATTCAGCAGCTGCTGCCAGTTACTGTTTGTCTCAGGGTGATTCCTTATGCAGGCCCTGTTTATTTACACAGAAATCTGGCAAAAAAAAGAATCACAAGCTTGTTGTAACAAGCAGGGTCCATCTTGCAGGAAGGAAAGCAGCTTTGTGACTTTGGCTGGTCTCTACATTTCATTACAACCTGCCTGTTTTACCCAGGCCTTGAGATGCTGGTTTCTAGATTTCTGAAAAAAACCAAAAAACTTTTTTTTTATTCCCTAAAATTCCTAATTAGACTTCACATGTCTGGTTCTGAACTTCAAGTCCTTGGGCTACAAACAAGGTCTTTGTGCTCTCCCCATGCTTAGGAGCATGAATAGAACGAGCACATCCAAGTCAGAAGGGTGTGTGACGCTATTGCTGTGTCATGGATATATTTGGGGGGCCAAAAGAGACAAGGGTCAGCCTTGTAGAGCAGTGAGAATGAGTGGTCACCCTGACATGAGTGTGAGTAGATCATAACTAGGGCAGCTGTGACCTTAGTTGTGATATTATAGATGTTCCTTTTTTTCTTCTAAGGCTGAATCTATGTGAGAATTCTGTTAGATTTATTCCTCTGTCACTTAGAGTGAATCTGAGGTCTTCAGTTTTGTTGCTGGCCACTGTCTGTTGAAGACAAGCATGGCCTTGAGCTGGTGGTACTTTACATATCAATTTCTATTTCATCTGTTTCCTTATGGCAGAGAAATGTTCTTAGGTCTCAGACTGACTAGGACCATCAGTAGGAGTTTAATAGTCCATGCTGTGACTCACTGCATTGTATTCACCAGCATTATTTACATGGGTGTAGAGTTAATACTTACTCTAATCTCTGCAGGATCAGTGTCTTGGAGGGATTGCTTTTCTTTGCAGTAAGGATGATAATAAGTATTGCCACTCAGATAAGATATCAAAGTGTTTTATACCTGTCTTTGCAAAAACAAATAAGAGATGGGTAAAATAATCCACTCAGGATAAATGTAAGCTGCTTTAAATACCTTTCAATTTAAAGGGATAGCTTTGGTAGGCCTTGTTGGAATAGTGTCCTATATCTGTAATAAATCTCCTTGCTTAAACATACCTAAATAAGCATAGCAGAGTGAAAAAGTCATTGAGGAAACTTAATGTAAAAATAATCTTCCTCCTACTGCGTGTTCTTGTTATGTAAGGCGAAAAACAAAGTAAACTGAAATGTTTTCTGTGTAGGTAGCTTTCAAATCACATGAAAAATGTGATTAATTAATACAGTTCTTCCTCAGGCATGTGACAACTTGCAAAGTACTTTCACTCATATCCCTGGAAAAAGGGGACCTTCTGTAGGCTCCTTCAGATGTTTTGAGTCAGAGAAATGTTGGAGGTACAGATGTAATAATTTCAGTGAAAAACGAGGAGAAACAATATTGTCAGCATGTTACCTCTTCTGTGTATTCTGTCTGCATATATTTGAGGAGAGGGGACTGAATTTTCCCAGGGCAGGTGTTTTATTCCTCATGCCTGTGCATAACTGTGGATTTTGCTGGCTGCACACTCTGTTTGCACATGGAAAAGAGCACAGATTCCTTAGCCGATCCTGACTCTGTTCTTTTCTACCAAGGCATTCATAAGGGCAAACCAAATGATGCTTTTCCTTGTTTATCTTTTCCAGTTGCCTGTGTCTGGCAATTTGATTGACCTTTATGGCAACCAAAGCATGCCTCCTCCAGGACTAAACATCAGCAACTCATGTCCAGCTAACCTGCCTAATATAAAAAGGGAGCTCACAGGTAAATATGTCAAAAATACCACCTTGGAGTAATAGTGTAATTGTTTGGAATTCAGGTGATATTGGGCATAATTTCTGAGAAAGAATGTGTTGAGTAGTTACTTTTTGCTTTACAGACCGTTTTTTAGCAGATGTATTAGCCTGCCATGTAGTTGTGTTTGTGTGTGTTCACTGTCACAAGTTAAGATGGAGTCCCTAGTTGTTTTGGTCACACCTGCACATTGAAAGCATTGTGTCCCTGGAAGCTTCCATGCATTTCTTCCAGATCTATTTACTACTTTGGGCTTATTGTTTGCTCCATCAACATCAAACTTTAACAGCTTCACATCTGGAGTCTCTGTGGGATTCATGTTGAGAAATGCTCCATATTGAGCCTTAAACCCAGTGAGGGAGGGCAGTAATGAACAAATAACCTGTTATAAAATGAAATCTGGACACAAAAATCCTATAAAATGTTAAATTAGGCATTCAAGAGGGATTGGAACTCGATGATCTTTAAGGTCCTTTCCTGCCTAAGCCGTTCTATGATTCTGTGAATATAGATCTCTAAATTAAGATGAAAATGAAGTATTAAATTTCTTGTTATGCCAGTTCCTCCAGCAGTGCTGTGAATAAGCTGCTGGAGGTAAGGGGGGCTCTAAAAGCCTCTCTCTCAAGCACACACATACAGAAACAAGATAGTTTGAAGCAAGTAATAAGTTTTGTATTCTCAAGCATGGTTTATTTTTGCTTCACTTGAACAGATAGATAGAACCACACAGAGTAAAGTATGCAGGCTGAGATTGTCAGCAGGCTGAACAAATGGACATCCATTCTAGAACCAATGGCAAAATCATCTGAATACCCTGAAATGGCTCTTCTTAAGCCCAACAGGGAGTCAGGCTGTATGCAGTAGGGTAGAGGCCTAGTTTCTTGTCTGTCATCTTTCTGGGTTTCTGTTGTGAGAACTCACAGGCTGACTCAGTTGCAAAGCAGGTTCTGGGCAGGAATTAGTTTAAGTAGAGCAGTTTTAATGGGCCGGGAGTCTCCTTCTTAGGAGGAAATGCCACATCTCTGAGCCAGCAGATATTTGCATTTATGTGACTGCACAGAATTTGAGCTCAGCACCAAATGAAGACACACAAAGTGCACTGTGATTTGTGGCTGCTAGAAAAAGCAAAGCTTTGTACACCAAGGGAACTGTGTAAGAGGAAGGTGGGAGGGGATGAGAACTACTCCAGGTCCTCCATTACAGACAGTTTCATTGCCCCAGGTACAAAAAGTTAAAGGGGCTGTAGGCTGAACATCCAACTTGGATGTGCAGGCTGGTGGATTTGCTGCAGGTGGTCAGGCAAAGCAGGTTAAAAAAGAGGGGAAAATAGCAAGTGAAGTGGTCTTATGGAAGACCTCAACACATCAGAACAGACCTGAAGTAAGTTCAGTGTCTATATGCTGCACTCATTTGTACACAGAATCAATTTAGATGAGTGCTTTTTCTGCTCAGAATACATTCTGGCTGATTGCATTTTCTTTGGGGGAAGTTCAGGAGTTAAATTCAAATTTCACAGCCATCACTTTGACCCTGATCTGGCCAAGCCTTTGTGCAGCAAGCACTATTGGTGGTGCTTTCTGTTGGAGCTAAGCTGGAGAGAGCTTGCAGTCTTTAAATACTTCATGTGTCAAACCTTTCTTTATCCTGCTGTATAAATACCAAAACTATGAAGAACCACCCCCCAAACTGTGATCCCAGCATCTGATGATGGTGATGGTTGTGAGTTCTCAGCTGTAGTTACTGAAACATTTAATGGGAATTCAGCTCTCCTAGGAATGTGGTTTCTGTTGATTTTGGCCTCACAAACCTCCTATCTGTTTAATAAGGCAATGTCAGATTAAGCTCAAATTTCATGAAGACATGCAATGATCTTCCAAGCTTTTTTGGGGGATCCTTGGTGAGCTTAGCATAGAAAAGGATATGTCCTGTGATACTGCATGAAATATTGGGATAACTCTGTATTCTAAGCAGTGAAGTAAGCTTCCAGCACTCCAAAGAAAACCCTTAGCACCTGTTTGAATTGGATGGGACATAATCCACGTTCCTTAAAAATAAAATAAAATAATACAGCAAAGAAACTTGCTGGAGACAGTGAGTGTTTCCATGATGGAATGTGTGATAATCGATGATACACTCATTCCTCCTCACTGACTTACTGTGCAACTCCACAGTGCTTGCTGGTTTGGGGAATTTAAATGAAACAGGGTGAGGATTAATGACCTCACCTTCTAAAAAACTAAAAAGTGGTAGCGCAAACATGAGTATCCTTAAAATTGCTTGAGAAATGTCAGCTCAAATGAGAACTGAAAATAACAGATGTAGTTATGCTGTTGCCCCTACTGTTGCAGGCTGAAGTTAATAATTGTGCAATTATTATAGAATGTAATGGCAATAATAATGTAATAATAAATGTGTGAAGCAAGCTTAAGAGTTCTGAGTTGAGGAGTCAAGTTCTGTGCAGCACAACTGTCTTTACTTTTCTTTTTGTCTTTTTCTGAAGCAAAGACCTTTGTTTTCCAACTTTACCACCAATAAAGGTGTTGAATTTTTCATCTCCTTTTCATGTAATGAGAACAGTTAGCATAGCTGGAAAATAGAGTCCTTTTAATAGATCACTTAAGTTATCCCTGGAGTGTTGTGGTGATGTGTATGCACGTGCCAGAGAAGGACATAGCCTTCATTCCAGTGAGCAGAGCCTGTGACTCCATCCTGCTTCACATCCTGGGAAGGTAGCAATGCCCTAAGCATCTTGTTCCTCTGGTTTAGCTCCCGTGGGATATGTATGTAAATGTAGGAGAAGGTATGTTGGATTTCAGCAGTTTGTTGTCCTCAGATACCTTGCTGAGTCAGGGCCTCCGTGGGAAACATTCTCAGCATGGAAGTCACTCTGGGAAGTGTGGGAAGAGATGCTCCCCAGGTGCAGAGGTGAAGCTCAATACCAGTGTTGTGTTTTGGCATTCCCAGGCCCTTCTTGCTCGTTGGAATGGACAAATAATTGGTGTGACAAATATCAATCAGCCTTCCTGTGCAGTTATTTCACAGGCTGAAACGTTGTTTTTGAATGATTTTAATTCTAATTACTTCATTCACATGCACAGCATGTATTTTTCCTACAGAGTCGGAAGCGAGAGCGTTGGCTAAGGAGAGGCAAAAGAAAGACAATCACAACTTGAGTAAGTTTTGGTTCTTCACAATTTGCACCAATTCTGGGAATGATTTGAGGTGTTAAGTGATTGAATGCTGATGATTCAAAGCTGTATGTGTATATTATGTATACATACACATGCTCTAGATATACACAATATATACTATTTATGGACACTAGCAATATATAGTACCAGTTTGTTGTATTATGCCCATAGATAAAGATCTCAAATTATTGTGAAGCGTGTCCTGGAATCTATTGAATTTTAAATTCTAGTTTTCAATAAGCCAAGTGAACGAGTGGTTGCTGTCAGTGGAATTTCTGGGAGCAGCATGTGATCCAATTGCTTTTTTCAGATGCACATTGCACAGTTTTGATTTTTGTGTTTTAATTTAGGGTTTTTTTTAATGAGATAAGTGGTCAATTTGTCACTTTAAACAACAGTATGTATCCTCAGTGTGGCAATCTTATCGATTTCATTTTTGAAGTGAATTCGTATTTTCAAGTTGGAAAAAAAGCCTTTTGAAATAATGAGCATCTTACGACTTAAAGGATCCTTAAGTTGTCCTTTTGTACTTTCTTACTAGAAAAAAAAGGCACTGTTTCGTGCCTTGAGCTACTCATAAGCTTTTTCCATAGTATGACAAGTTAATGCAGGAAAATTGGTGTTTAAATTTGACTTTTGGATCCTCAGTGTTGCCTCTGGAAGAGATTTTTTAAAAGTCTGTGCCTTTTGTCTTTTTTTTGGAATTTCCTTGAGCATCTAAATTTTTGTCTCTGCATTTGTCTGTGATGCTTTTCCCTAGAAGAGGTTTTCTTCTCATTTGAGTCCTGTGCTCCAGTCCTGAGTTTCAGAGTCTCAGTTTAACTGTGCCACTTCAGCAGTCCCAAAATACACAGTGTAGACAGAACTTCTGTCTTAGTGTGTCTGTGTGTAGGAGAGCAAAATAAATTATCACTGGATTTTAACCTTTAAGACGAACTTTTGAAAGGTGCCTAGAGAAATCTTTGATGAAACACTTTGCATGTTGTAATTAATTGTGAATATTGCTTCTAACATCTGTGCTGTTTTTCCTAAAGTTGAACGAAGAAGAAGATTTAATATTAATGATCGTATAAAAGAACTAGGCACTTTGATACCCAAGTCAAATGACCCGTAAGTATAACGTGCCCTGGGAGGCTGTGGGAGGGAGGGAGGGAGTAAAAGAAAATAATCCTAGAGGAGAATAAGAATTTACCAAAAAAAATTTAATTAAGATCCAGTGTTTTGTCATTGCTCTTCACTCCATGAGTGTAGAAATGTTTGAAGGTTCCGTTCTACTTTTTTGAAGGTTGTTTTGAGGTTTATTTTTTCCCCTTTTGGAACTTGCTTATGTTTATGTTAATTTGATGATTTTTGTCACAAGTTTGGGGCTGATGCTGGGAGAGACTGGCTGCCTGACCAGGGGCAGAGCTGTCAGGATGGGAAACCTTAGTCTGCTCTCGCTGCTTAGCTGCTTGTATTGCTAAATGATTCTTCTAATTAATTAGATGCCATAGCTTGACAAGACAGAACCAGTCCCTCTTTCAGTGAAAATGGAGGGCAGTTCATCTGGGAAGCATCACATACCCCTTCCCTCCAAGAAACAAAAAAAGAAGAAAAATAGATTATAGCTGTGTATTTGTTCACTGATAGTTTCCCAGTGTTTGTTGTCATTTCCCAGATGTTCTTTAGATAATTTAACAATCATTTTACTGCTATTAGCTTGTCTGCACTTTCCCAGTGCTGATTCAATGGTAAGGAAACCCTCCTTTCTCTAGAGTTTGAAATTTTCACTTAAAACTAAATCGATGCCCTGTGATTCTTTTGGGGAGAGTTGCCAGTAGGAATGGAGCAACTCTAAGAAGCTCTTCAGCTTCCTCCAAGTCCAGCAGGACAATATTGCTCAGTATCACCCTCAGGGATCAGGTGGATCTTTGCTCTGGCAGTCTGCAGGAAGATTTATTTTGTTTATTTAAAGAAAGTAAGATGATATGGAGGAGAAAACGATGCAACAGCTTCTCTCTCTGAAGCAAATGTACTTCCCAAGAGCTGTGCTCCGGCCCCCTCTAGTGCTCTTCAAACGCTTTCTGTATCCCTCAGCTTGGAATAGATAGCTGGATGTTTTGTCTGTGTGAGGTGTAAGCAGAACTACAGATAGGAAGGTAACAACTATGAAACAAAACCTCTCTGAGAGCCTTAACTTTTGTGTTGATTCCCAAGGGATATGCGCTGGAATAAGGGAACGATTCTGAAAGCATCGGTGGATTATATCCGCAAGCTGCAGAGGGAGCAGCAGCGCACGAAGGAGCTGGAGAACAGGCAGAAGAAGTTGGAACATGCCAACAGGCACCTGCTGCTCAGAATACAGGTTTGCTGATTTAAAAAAAAAAAAGCTGCAAAGGCTCTTGGCGTTGTGTGTGACTGCAAATAGAATCATAGAATCAACCAGGTTGGAAGAGACCTCAAAGATCATCGAGTCCAATGATCCAAATAGTGGTGGCTGAAGCTTGTTTGTAAGGATGTGGGTTAGAAGGAATCAGGATTTTAATTAATGGTGGCCAGTGCTGAGATGTCTGCACAGATTTTTCCAGAAAAAGCCAAGGCTGCATTAGTTTAAAAAAGAAAAAGTAATATAAGATTTTAACACTCTAGTAAATGCACTTACGGGTGGTTTATTTCTGTTCTACCGTGGCCAACATAGTTGCAAACCATACCATTTAAAAGATTTATATGGTAATATATTTTTCTGGGTGCCAGGCCTAAGGAATTGGGACTTTGAGTGTCATCTATTTTGTTGATAGTCCTGAAATTCAGTTCAGCTGTTGGGAGTCATCCCTGCTCCTAGAAGTCTGTAGGACTGTACCACAGTTCTCAGCACTGAAAAGCAGTAGGTGGCATGAATATGTTTTCTCCGTGGGTTGTTGCCTTGTTAGATTCACCCAGGTTCCCAATGTTCTGTACTACACAGAGATTTAAGGGTGAGAACTCCACTTTTCTAATTAATTCCTTTGCTTCACCTCAAGCTGGATAGGAAACCTTAACCTTGCAGCCTACACAGCTTCTGTTGTTGCCTCTGTTCTCCAGGTGGGCAAATATAGCTGGATATCCACCCCTCTTCATAAATGGGTAATTAAAGAAGTGTGTCTAGAATTGGGTGTAAGAACACATAGCACAGAGCCAGTGTTGTCCCAGATATCCTCATGGTACTGCTCACCTGCAGTGCAGACAGCTGGACTCTGCATGCAGCTGCAGTGTGCCAGGAGACCCCTGCACCCCAGCCTGGCTAATCCACCAAGGAGATAATGAAGCTACAAATACCTGAGAGTCAGATGTGGAAGTAAACAGCTTTAAAACAGAACAGGCTAGGTTGAGCTTCAGTGCAGTTTTCATGCTTGGTTGAGCAATCTGCTTGCTAGAGTGAGATGATGAAAACACAACCCTTCTCCAGAGCAACATCAAGCAGTGGTGTTTCAAAGCTAAGTGGGATCACTTTTTTAAGCATCTTTCATCTTTGCATTATCCATCTGCTCTGGCTTCTTCAATCAAAATAACATAAACCCAGACCCTTGAATAATGGGCAATATATCTGGCAGCAAATAACCTCAAGTGTGTGTTTTCCCTTTTTGTGTTGATTCTGATTAAGCACAGAATAAGGAACTCCTGATTTTGGCAGGTTAGCTGATGGAAGAAGTGCTTCCTCATTCCTCCTCCTGCCTTGATCTTGCAGTGTGCCACTAGAAACTTGTTGTCTTAGGTCAGAAATGGAAAAAAGGGCTGTTAATCAACCTCAGTGACAGGAATACCCAGAAACAGCACAATCACAACAGTGATTGTCATTGTCTAATATAATGCGTAAGTAGAAGCAAAATGTCTCTTTTACTGATGTATTTGTGAAAGGACATTTAAGTGAGTTCTTCTATTATCTGTCTTCAGACAAGTGTGTCTGTATGACTAAATGTGAAGGTGGGATTTAAACTTCCCATGGAGAATTGAAGAAGTCTGGCTGCATGTGAAGTTTAAAGCCTTCCTGTGACTTACCCATGATTTTGCAGTGCAGGAATAGTGTTGCTCAGTTTTGGTTGACTTCTTCCAGTCTTGTAGAATGAGACACGTCCCTTCCCGTGTCTCAGCAGGAGTTGACAAGGTTCTTATAGACCTGTTATGCCTTCACATATGACTTTTTTTTAAAAAGTACTAAGCATATGCTTCTGCTATTTCTTTTTTTGCCCCTGCTTTTAAATGCTTTCCTCACCCTACCTGGTGCCAAACTTGCTTATTCTGGCACTGGTTTGGGAACAGGCCTGAGGGCAGTGTGTCTGTGCTCCAGGGTTTTGGCACTGGTATAGGTTCTGAGGAGGAGTGTGAAGGAGCTGTGTGGGATGGTGTTCACCCACCTCTTCAAGAGACTGATGTTCAGGTGAAAATCTGCAGGACTGGAGTGGGCAAAGTACAAGCACTTGTCACTATGGCAGAGGGAGGAAATGTGTACAGGAGGAGGAGACTGTAAGTTGCAAGGTGAGCGTGAGATGACAGATTTTGCTTTCAGATTTTCTTTTAATTTGTCCTTTATCCTCCTTCACAGGAACTTGAGATGCAAGCTCGGGCACATGGACTGTCCCTTGTCCCATCTACAGGCCTTTGCTCCCCAGATATGGTCAACAGGGTCATCAAACAAGAGCCTGTGCTGGACAACTGCAGCCAAGACATGATGCCACACCACACAGACCTGTCTTGCACCACCACCCTCGACCTCACTGATGGCACCATCACCTTCAGTGACAACCTCGGAAACGTGACTGAACCAACTGGCACTTACAGTGTTCCTGCAAAAATGGGATCCAAACTGGAAGATATCTTGATGGACGATACCCTCTCCCCCGTTGGAGTAACTGACCCACTCCTTTCCTCTGTGTCTCCTGGGGCGTCGAAGACGAGTAGCAGGCGGAGCAGCGTGAGCATGGAGGACACCGATCATGCTTGTTAGCATATACTTGGCACATCTTTCATAAACTGCTTTGGTTCTTGATCAGTAGATGAAATAATTTACCTTTTGTAGAATTTTTTTGATTTTTTTTTTTTTTCCCCTCGTGCTTCATCAGTGTGCGTGCGTGTGTGTGTGTACATATTATATATATAGGATTTTTTTTAGAATTTTTGTGAAGAAACTTGTATATTCTATTTTAAAACTACCAATGCCTCCAAAATATTGTACAGCATATGTACAGTATCTGTGAACTGGATTCGCCAAGAACTTTTGAACTGGTCAAATCTACTCAAAGCAATAGAATTACAGATGAAGAGTCTGTTTCTACTTGGGGAGGGGAGGGAGAGGGCAATCGTAGGATTGTAAATGCAACCTATTTACCTGGAAACAAAATGTAAAGTTAAAGAATGTAAAGAAACAAAAAAAAAAAAAAAAAAAAAAGAAAAAAAAAGTCCAATTTGTAATTGTATTAATTGAATAGTGCTGCCTTAAAGATACAGTGTCCCTCAGATGTTGGTCTTACATGACAAGTGTTTAGGGGAAAAAAATCCCCACCCTACTCCACTCGGAATACAAACAAAAACCAAGTGTTAAGACATCTTGATTGTGCTGATTGTGATACAAAATGCTGTTGCTGAAACTGCAGGAAGATGTGAGTGTCTCAGAGTGTTGTTTAATTTTCCTCTGAGCTGATTGGGGTTTTCCTTTTGATCACGGTTCGAGTTTTTCCTCTTAGGTTTTCATTTTGTTTAGTGGCACACATCGATGGCTTTGCCAACAGCAAAACCAAGCAGGAACGCTGTAAGTTGGGATACACTCTTTGGACAAAAAAAAAAAAAAAGATGCATTTTATCAGCTGGGCACATTATGTTGTACATATCTAATTGGCTTTATTTTTTTTTTTTTAAATTGCATTGTACAGTTTCTTTTGATTTGCATGGATTCCTTAGTTACCCTCGACTTCTTTTTTTTTTCTGTTTTAAATTTATTTGTATTTCATTTGTAAGATTTTTTGCCTCTTAATATTGCAACAATTTTTTGACATTTTTAAAACTCATTGGAAGTTTTCTGCGTTCTTTGTAAACACTTGAAAGGAAGCTTTTATGCAGGGTTCTGTGTTTTAAGAGAGATTTTGAGAATATTTTGTATATTACAGTCTCACTTTGAAAATGTTTTTAAACGCATTTAAGGTAGAGTAAAAATTTAGATTAGGTAATAAAACAACTCTGTAGAGAAACTGAACTTACATATTTATTTTTAGTGATACAGAAAAAAAAAAAAAAGTAGTAATATGCTTGGAAACATAACTATGTAGTTACTATACCCGTTAGAGCAATTTGTGTTCTATTTCAGCACTGGGGCTGACATAAGAGAAAAAAAAAACAACAAAAAAAAAAAAGAGTAAATTACTGTATCTGCAAATAACTGTTACTTGATAACAATGTTATTAATTTTTAACATGCAACCATGTTGTAAAAGTAGTTGGGTGCATTATCTACTCAAGTGTAGTCCTATGCAATAACGGTAGTTTTCCTTGTATTATATCCAGCCTAGGTGTTTCTCGGAGGTGACATGTGGTGTTCCGAGCGAGACGGAGGGGATGGATTTCTCCATGGCAGCCTACAGCTGACTCGAGGGCGGCAGGCAGGCGTAGCTCGTTCAGAATGAAGTGCCTTAAACTCTAGTTGTAGTCTTCCTCGACTAGCACTGACTGAAGTGTGGCGTAGGAGAGAGCTTTGGGGTGGTGCTTGGTAGGACGTTGAGGTGTCGCACGGTGCCTACGTAACAGAAAACAAGAGCTTCCCGTTCTCCTTTGTGCTACACTTGAAATTGCATAGGGTGAGTGCAACGGTGAGTGACTCGAGTGCCAGTTTGGGAGGCTTTTCTTAAGGAAACCTTGGGCTTGGCAGTTAGTGTTCAGAAACCAAATGTGAATTGGGTAGCGATGGGACAGCGTTGGGATGTCCTGTAGCCTGCGGCGCGGCTGGCTGAGCTCTCCCCCAAACGTTTCCCTGTGGAAGGGTTCTTGGTGTCCCGTGCCTGGCACTGTTCCTCCTGGCATGGACAGCTTGGGGCGCAGGGCTCGGCAGGGACGTGGCTGCGGTTACGGTGCTCTGGGCTCTGTGTTCGTGTTGCTCTTTCTGTGGCTGTGCTGGCTGTGTCCAGCCCTTTCCCTTCCTGCTTGAGCCGCCCGCCAGCTATGTGTTAGCGTTGATGCAACCACCAGGTTGTGGCTTTTTTTCTTTCTTTTTTTAGTTTTTGAAGGAGGAGCTGGAGTTAGATTATAATGATGCCACTCCCCCCCATCCCAGACAGCTTTCAGGAATGTGTCTTTCCTAGGGTAGAGAAGCTCTGGCCCAGGTAGGACCAAGGAGCCTGCAGGATGCACTGCAGCCACTATGGTCCTCAGGCAGGGAAATGCTTCTGGTCCCTGCAAGGCAGCTGTGCCATAGGCAGCTCTGAGTCGGATATGGGGGTACAGGCTTCTGGTGCTGCTGTTTGGTTAGGGTGACAGGTAAGAAAATCAGGGCTGTGAAATGGTTATAGCCACACATGGGACTGTGTTACTCTCCTCTGTTCAAATGGGACAGCTCTGCAGTGCTGTCAACAAAACCAGAGTGTGCACGCTGGAGTGTAGTAATGAGAACCACTGAATAGATTGAATAAGGCTCTTGGTTTGGTGCCTGTGCTGGGCATTCAGAAATTCAAGTCTAGACTGGTATATGAATATTTTTTCAAGCTTATGTGAAACCACTGGTACTCACTGACAGCCATGACTTCTGATTTTTAGCTCTGGTGCTGTGTGGAGGTGAGTTAGGATTCATGGAAAACCATTATATCAAGAGCTGGATTTCTTGATAGGAGTCACTGTGGCCCCAGCAGCTGTGTTGTGTGCTCCTTGTACCTTGTGTGGTCCTGGGGTGACATATGACTTGGCTCACTCTTCACCCCATGTTTCCTTGGACTACAGCCCTCCTCTGAGTCTGCCCACCCTTAGAGTGGTGACACTGCAGTGAGGACACCTCTAGAAGGCACAGAGCCCCAGGTGGGTGCTAATGGGAGGTGTCTTTGCCTGTTTGAGCATTGTGGAGCATGTGGCCATGATGTTTTGCAGGAGATCAGTGGCAGAGGACAGAGACAGTGATTACAGGCAGGGTTTGGCATGGACTAGGTGGAGTGAGATGGACAGAAGTTGTTGCCTGGTCTGGTGGTGGTGACTTGTGTGACGCTGGGCAGCGGTGGCTTCCCTGAGCGGGTGGATGGGGATCTGACCAATTCTCACTTTGCCAAAGCCATGCAACGAGCAGGGACATGCAGAGTACCATGAAGTTCTTCCTTACTGCTTTTGGCCTATAAAGCAATATTTAACTCTTACAACCTGTAAAAGCAAAAAGAAGGTACATAAGGAAAGCACAAAGCACAAAATAATGCACTTACATTTATGTTGTTTGACATAAAATGCACTGGGGGGGAAGCTGATGTTGATAATAGTATAAATACCTATATTTCTTGAAAAAGTGACATTAATTACTGCCTCTTGCTATGATGCTTGGTACTGTAATGTTGATATTCATCTGCTGTTGACTGCAGCAATAATTTGTGTATGGTCCATAGCACTGTAAATTATGGATCAATATTAATGTATCCAATGAAATAATTTGAACTGTTGTTCTTGATAGATGGATTAAAGCATTTGGTTTTTCACATATGTCTGTGTAAATCACTCGTTTTCCGTGTGAGTGGATCTTGTTTTCCTGTGCATTTGAAGTCCCTGCAGTGCTTCTGTGTCTGTGACTTGACCCATGGACGTGTCCACGTTCCTGACCTGGTCTCAGTTGGCATCCCTGGTTCCGCCAGAGCTGTCCAGTTGTGTTTGTATGGTGGTAACACAGGAGGATGGAGCTATGGATCAGGCCCCACTTGTGCCTTGCAAGTACACACCAGTGGATAGACCCAAAGCTTATGGTCCAGCATAAGGAGTAAAACAGGTAGATGTGGAAAAATGTCATTGCCTCTCTCCCCTCCCAAGGGCTCTTGCCTTTTGCCTCCCTTTCTCCCTGCTCCTGTGGGTGTCTGCCAAAACCAGCCCTGGCAACATTGCTCTTCACTGCCCACCAGCTGCTCTGTGTCAGGTCTGGGCTTGGTGAGGCCTCGGGCTATCTACACCCCTTTGTCCTGCTGTCACTCCTGCAAGGTCACCTACCCTCAGCAGTCCTACACAGGAGCACCTCACCACCTTCTCCAGCTGACCTGGCCACAGCAGGATCCCCATCCTCCCTCTGCTCACCCCCAGGTTCCTCCCAAACCTCCATTCACCCAACAAGCTGCTCCTGTGTTGTGCTGGGAGCTGCAGGTCATGCTGGCGAGGAAACAGCTGTGGGGCCTTGTTGTGTCTTCCCATCTTCATTATTTCTCCTTGTGTCTGTTGCTTTCATCCCTTCTGGTGTAGTTTTTCAACAGGCTGTTGTTTCCTGTGCTCAGCATGGAGTCCCTGCATGTCTGTGGATCTTGCTGCAGCTGCAGTGGGGGTTAGTGGACATTATCTCAGGGAGTTTCAGCCCTGAATACAGCAAATTTGCTCTCTGTCTTGAAAGTCTGATATCTATTAGGAGTGGAAATACCTATTTCAGTTGCAATTAAAAATTAGTAGCTCAATTTAAAAACCAACCCAACAAAAAAAAAAAGCTGAGTGAAGTTACCTGACTCTTTTAGGACTACAGCTCAAAAGCCTTGCTCCCTCTTTGTAGAAGATATTAGAGTTAAAACTTGTGTTTCGAGCAGGTTTTGTAAAGTTATTTCTTTAGCAATTCAGCACAGCATAAGGATGTGGCACTGTAGTACTAGGAAATAGGAAATCGATTTATCAGCAGCCTAGGATATAATTTCTAATTTAAGTCTGAGTTCTTAGATGTATTTTGGCTTCCTTATGGTGGTCAGGTGTGGCTTTTTTTGTGGTCACTGGGAGTGGATTTGCTGTCAGTGGGAGCAGCTCCTGGTTTTGGCTGGGTTGCAGGACCCAGGAGGGGCAGGAAGAACATCTGTTGTTGGGGTAATGGTTGCAGGCTCAGTGTACATCAGCAAAGAGGTGGTGGCAGCTCTGCTTGGAAGCTTTTTAGTTCCTTTGGGCAAGTCTGAAAAATTCTCTGCAGGGTAAGGAAGTGGATATTAAACATAAGTCCACCGGTGCCTGGTGGGGTCTGGTTTGCTGGAAAGCTCTTTGTCTGGGCTCCAGAGTGCTCAGGGCTTGGCTGTGTGGTTTGGTGACATGGCAAGACACAACCATCACTTTGTCTTGTCGTGCTTTCCTTGTGAGGAGATCTGGAGCAACCACCACTGCTGGGAGTGAGGTGGTAATTGCTTTGCCTGGATGGGTTC